TCACCTAAGGAAAGATTCATTTCAAAATCTTTTTTCTGCACTTCTGTTTCTAATGACTACTAACCCTGCAAAATTCCCTACTACTGTGATATATCTGAAGACTGATTTCTTTGTCTTAGAGCTGAGTTAGGTTATCTTGGGTGACTTCTGGTCCATGTGATGCCTCCAATCCATAGACAGGCCGAAATGTAACATATCAGTGCTTTCTGCACATGTATTAAAATGCTTGTGGAAATGTGAAGCTAAGCCAGAACAAGCAGAAAAAAAAAACAAATAGCACAGCATCTCACAGCAGGATATGTCAGTACTTGAGTGTGAAACACTCGCCTGACAGGAAGCCTGCTGTGAATATGGACTCCTGCGCGTTATGTTTTGGTTTGGAACGTGAAGCTGGGAATTAATTGACCTAGCTCTGTTCTATGCCTTACCTGAGACCGTGTTCACTTCTTCGTATCTAGGGTATGTCAGAATGCTGTTAAAATATATGTATATATATATATATATATATATATTTATTTATTATTATTATTATTAATAATAATAATATTATACAGGATTTATATAGCGCCAACAGTTTGTTCAGCGCTTTACAATATAATGGAAGACAATACAGCAATGATACAGCTCAATACAAGAGGGTAAGGAGGGCCCTGCTCCTGGGAGCTTACAATCTAATAAGGAGGGGCTGGTGGTACAAAAGGTAATAACTATGGGGGATGGACTGACGAGAAAAAATAGAAGATTCAGTTATTAGCTGATGGCAGGATAGGCTACCCTTAGGAGATAGGTTTTCGCTTAAAAGTGGGTAGAGTAGGTGACAGACAGATTGGGGTAGAGAGTTCCAGAGGATGGAGAAGGCTCTGGAGAATTCATAGGGACGAGCATGAGAGGAGGAAGAAAGAGAGGAGCGGAGAGGACAGTTTGGGTGATATTAAGAGACAAAATTGGTGATGTAATTTGGGCCAAAGTTGTAAAGGGTTTTGTATCTTATTGTTAATGTTTTTAATTTTATTTCATTGGTCAGTGGGAAACCTGTGGAGAGATTGTCAGAGAGGAATGGCGGACATTGAACAGTTGGTAAGGTGGTTGAGTCTGGCAGAAGACATGATAGAATGAAGAGGGATAACTTGCGATTAGGTAGGCCAATGAGGAGGCAAGAGATAACAAGGCGAGAAATAACAAGGGAGAGAATAAGTTGCTTAGTGGTTAAAATGGTTAAAAAGGGGTGTATTTCAGAGATGTTATGGAGGTGAAGTCTACAAGATTTGGACAGTGATTGGATTTGGGGCTGAAAGGAAAGATCGGTGTCCAGGATTACATCTAGTACCCTGGCATGAGGGGAGGGATTGATGGGTGTATTATTGATTTTGATGGAGAAGTCAGGGGAGGGGGCATGGGCTGGAGGGAATATTAAGAGCTCGGTTTTAGAAAGATTGAGTTTCAGGAAGTGGTGTGACATCCATGCTGATATATCAGTTAGTAAGTTAGTAGTTCAAGAGGAGACTGAAGGGGTGATATGAGGAGTAGAGAGATAGATTTGTGTGTCATCAGCATAGAGATGGTACTTGAAGCCATGGTTAATCAAGTGACCAAAGGAGGAGGTGTAGATGGAGAAGAGAAGGGGTCCAAGGACAGAACCCTGGGGGATCCCTACAGAAAGAGGAAGTGGAGAGGAGCAGACAGAGTTATAGGTAACGCTGAAGGTAATAGGTAGGAGGAGAACTAGGAGAGAGCAGAGTCTCGCAGGCTGAGAAAGTGGAGTTTTTTGAGGCGGAGGGGATGGTCAACAGTATCGAAAGCAGCAGAGAGGTCGAGTAGTAAGAGTATGGAGTAATGGCCATTGGTTTTAGCAGTTAGTAAATCATTAGTGAGTTTTTGTAGGGCAGTTTCAATGGAGTGCTGCGAGCAAAAGCCAGACTTTAAGGGGTCAAGAAGATTGTTGTCAGTGAGGTAGGAGCTCAGACAATTGTAGACTAAGATCATTCTAAGAGTTTAGAGGTAAATAAGAGCAGGGAGATGGGACTTAAGTTGTTCAAGTTGGTGGGGTCCAGTGAGGGCTTTTTAAGTATGGGAGTGATTTTTGCATGCTTTAGAGGGGAGCGGAAGGTGCCAGTAGAGAGGGAGAGATTGAAGATGTGAGTGAGAGGAAAAAAGGATAAAAGAAGAGGGTGACTGTAGTAATTGAGAGGGAACAGGATCCAGGGTACAGGTGGTAAGCCGGGCTTCTGAGAAAAACTTTAGTGACCTCTTTAGCAGTAGCAAGGTCAAAAGAGGAAAGTGTTGAGGGTGGTTTTGTATAGGGTATGCTAAGTGGGATAGGTATCTGTGCAGTGGAGATGCCTCCACGAACTGCATCAATCTTGTTTTTTAAATGATTGTCAATCTCATGAGCAGTGAGTGAGTTACTGGGTGGAGGTGGTGGTGGAGAAAGTAGAGTTAAAAGTAGAGAAGGGACCACAAGGACTGGATGACCAGGTATTAATAAGAGTGACAAATTAAGCTTGTTTGGCAGCATGGAGGGAGGAATTGTATTTTAAGAAGGCAGATTTATATGGGGTGAATGCTTGCTGGGATTTGGTTTTACGACACAATCTGTCAGGGCTCCCAGGTATGACCAGAGATGTGTGACTGACGCAGGGAAACGCAGACTTCAGATATGGGATAAACAATATAATTTATTAACACTAACAATACAAACATAAACGCAGTGCAATACTAAACATAATACAGTGCAAACAAACCAAACCAACCACCCACAGATAACAGTACATACAATGCAAGCGTCGTCAGGCAGGCCGGGTCAATATCAATTGGGCAGGTAGGTACAGGGGGAGCAAGCGGAGAATGGTCGGGGTCACAGGCCAGGTTCAGCAGGTAGCAAGCAGCGTAGTACAGAGGGTCAAGCAGAGGGATGGTCAGGGTCACAAGCCAGGGATCAGAACAGGTAGCAAGCAGCGTAGTACAGAGGGTCGGGCAGAGGGGATGGTCAGGGTCACAAGCCAGGGATCAGGACAGGTAGCAAGCAGCGTAGTACAGAGGGTCAGCAAAGGAACAGAAACAGGATGCAGGACAGATACAGGGCCCAGGACAAACACAACACCAAGGCAGAGTCTGTGGGTCTGGCCATCCCTTAAATACCCCAGCATAATCAGTTCCAGGTGTTAGCTGGCTGCAAAGTTGAGTCTCTGATTGCTGGGAGCACCCGCTGGCCAGCCCTGGTACTGCAGATCAAAAGGCAGGTGAGTCCCACCATTGCTGGCCAGTCCATTCCTGACAGTACCCCCCCCCTCAAAGAGCGGTCTCAGGACGCTCCAAACAGTCCTAGCCGGGAAAAATGTTCCACCGCCCGGGTCTGGTAACTGGCGGGATATCAAAGACTGGCACACTGGGCAGGACTCCGGGCAGCGGTACACCGGGCAGAGGCACATCGGGCTGGACTCCGGGCAGAGGCACATCGGGCTAGACTCCGGGCAGAGGCACACCGGGCTAGACTCCGGGCAGAGGCACACCGGGCTAGACTCCGGGCAGAGGCACACCGGGCAGAGGCACGCCGGGCAGAGGCACGCCGGGCAGAGGCACGTCGGGCAGAGGCACGTCGGGCTGGACTCCGGGCAGAGGCACATCGGGCTGGACTCCGGGCAGAGGCACATCGGGCTGGACTCCGGGCAGAGGCACATCGGGCTGGACTTCGGGCAGAGGCACATCGGGCAGAGGCACATCGGGCTGGACTCCGGGCAGAGGCACATCGGGCTGGACTCCGGGCAGAGGCACATCGGGCTGGACTCCGGGCAGAGGCACATCGGGCTGGACTCCGGGCAGAGGCACATCGGGCTGGACTCCCGGGCAGAGGCACATCGGGCTGGACTCCGGGCAGAGGCACATCGGGCTGGACTCCGGGCAGAGGCACATCGGGCTGGACTCCGGGCCCCCGGGCGGGGGCGGCAGGCAGCAGGCCCCCCGAGCAGAGCGGCGGGCGCCGGGCCCCCAGGCGGGGCGACAGGCATCGGGCCCCCAGGCGGGGCGACAGGCATCGGGCCCCCAGGCGGGGCGACAGGCCTCGGCCCCCAGGCGGGGCGACAGGCCTCGGGCCCCCAGGCGGGGCGACAGGCATCGGGCCCCCAGGCGGGGCGACAGGCATCGGGCCCCCAGGCGGGGCGACAGGCCTCGGGCCCCCAGGCGGGGCGACAGGCCTCGGCCCCCCAGGCGGGGCAACAGGCATCGGGCCCCCAGGCGGAGCGGCGGGCGCCGGACCCCCAGGCGGAGCTAAAGGTCTCGGGCCCTCAGGCGGAGTGGCGGGCGCGCCCCCGACCCCCAGGCGGAGCTACAGGTCTCGGACCCTCAGGCGGAGCGGCGGGCGCCGGACCCCCAGATGGAGCGACAGGTCTCGGGCCCCAGGAGGGGCGACAGGCGTCGGGCCCCCAAGGCAGGCGGGGTGACAGGCATCGGGCCCCCAGGCGGGGGTGACAGGCATCGGGCCCCCAGGCGGGGGGGGTGACAGGCATCGGGCCCCCAGGCGGGGCGACAGGCATCGGGCCCCCAGGCGGGGCGACAGGCATCGGGCCCCCAGGCGGGGCGACAGGCATCGGGCCCCCAGGCAGAGCTACAGGTCTCGGGCCCTCAGGCGGAGCGGCGGGCGCCGGACCCCCAGACGGAGCAACAGGTCTCGGGCCCTCAGGCGGGGCGGCGGGCGCCGGACCCCCAGATGGAGCGACAGGTCTCGGGCCCCCAGGCGGGGCGGCGGGCGCCGGACCCCCAGGCGGAGCGACAGGTCTCGGGCCCCCAGGCACGACAGTGGGCTCCGAGTCAACTGGCATGACCGCTGGCACTGGGTCAGACATTGGATCGTCTGGCTGGACAGCGGGCATCGGGTCACCAGGCATCAGGTCATTTGGCTCGACAGCGGGCACCGCGTCCTCTGGCAAGGCAGTGGGCTCCGAGTCAACTGGTATGACCGCGGGCACTGGGTCAGACATTGGATCGTCTGACTGGACAGCGGGCATCGGGTCACCAGGCATCAAGTCATTTGGCTCGACAGCGAGCACCGCGTCATCTGGCAAGGCAGTGGGCTCCGAGTCAACTGGCATGACCGCGGGCACTGGGGCAGACATTGAATCGTCTGGCTGGACAGCGGGCATCGGGTCACCAGGCATCAGGTCATTTGGCTCGACAGCGGGCACCGCGTCATCTGGCAAGGCAGTGGGGCTCCGAGTCAACAGACACGACAGTGGGCACCGGGTCATCAGGTATCGGATTGTCTGGCTCGACAGCGGGCATCGGGTCACCAGGTATGACCGCGGGCACTGGGTCACCAGGCATCAGGTCATTTGGCTTGCCAGCCGGCACCGCATCATCTGGCAAAGCAGTGGGCACCGAGTCACCAGGTACGACAGCGGGCTCTGGGTCAACTGGCACGACAGCGGGCACCGGATCAGGTACTGGATCATCTGGATCAACAGCGGGCATCGAGTCAACTGGTCCAATAGGATCGTCAGGCTGGATCAGTTCATCATGCTGGGTAGAGGCATCAGGCTGAATGCCGGCGTCCGGCTGAGTAGAGAGGCTTCAGGCTGAGTAGAGGCTTCAGGCTGAGTAGAGGCACCAGGCTGAGTAGAGGCACCAGGCTGAACCACGGAAGGCAGGTTCTCAGACGGCAGGCTCACCGGTTTGGATACTGGCAGGATGGTATTGGTTGGAAAGAATTTTCGCTTTTTTCTGGTTTTAACTACTGGAGCACTGCAAGTAAACGCAGGTCTGCAAACGAATGGAGCAGCTGGAGACAGAGAAGAACTGGAGGATGGAACAGGGGAGGGAGCAGTTGCTACAGAGGGCTTCTTTACAGGGTTAAAGGCAGGATAGGTGCAGCGAGTGGGAAACAGGGGTACTGACATGCGGTAGATAGCAGGGCAGGAGGAGCTGTTGGGAATGCAGGAATAGAGCTTTGAGGAAATAGGTTAGAAGCAGGACTGGGTCTTTGTAAGCTGACTGAGGCTGGGTGCAACAAGTCTGTCCATGTCTGCAGTAGGGGTTGAACAAAGCTGAGCTTACACAAAGCCTGTCTGGTCAATGACTGCACTGCGTTTATACAATCTCTTAGTGTCTGTGGTGAACATGTGGAATAATGCTCCAGAAAGTAACCCACATCATCCTCTAATAACCACACCAGGGATTCTACCTGGTCGGCACTAAATGGTGGCAAAAATTCATCCCTGCATTCGGGGGAACCAGATGAAACCAACTCAGCACAAACCTCAATCAAAGGCTGCACCTCAGAGAACTCTGTGCCCTGATCTACTAGAACATGAGCGAGCCGTATACATTCTAGCAGTTCATCCCGGGGATACTCCTTCAGAGTCTGATAGGCATACTCCCTGTCATCAAACACTAGCAGATATAAATACACAACCTCATCCAGATCCATCCTTCCCAGCAACAAGCCAAGATGGCTTCCCTGTGCAGCCACTTCTGGTCAGGATTGGCCTTGGTGTAATGTCAGGGCTCCCAGGTATGACCAGAGATGTGTGACTGACGCAGGGAAATGCAGACTTCAGATATGGGATAAACAATATAATTTATTAACACTAATAATACAAACATAAACGCAGTGCAATACTAAACATAATACAGTGCAAACAAACCAAACCAACCACCCACAGATAACAGTACATACAATGCAAGCGTCGTCAGGCAGCCGGGTCAATATCAATTGGGCAGGTAGGTACAGGGGGAGCAAGCGGAGAATGGTCGGGGTCACAGGCCAGGTTCAGCAGGTAGCAAGCAGCGTAGTACAGAGGGTCAAGCAGAGGGATGGTCAGGGTCACAAGCCAGGGATCAGAACAGGTAGCAAGCAGCGTAGTACAGAGGGTCGGGCAGAGGGATGGTCAGGGTCACAAGCCAGGGATCAGGACAGGTAGCAAGCAGCGTAGTACAGAGGGTCAGCAAAGGAACAGAAACAGGATGCAGGACAGATACAGGGCCCAGGACAAACACAACACCAAGGCAGAGTCTGTGGGTCTGGCCATCCCTTAAATACCCCAGCATAATCAGTTCCAGGTGTTAGCTGGCTGCAAAGTTGAGTCTCTGATTGCTGGGAGCACCCGCTGGCCAGCCCTGGTACTGCAGATCAAAAGGCAGGTGAGTCCCACCATTGCTGGCCAGTCCATTCCTGACACAATCGTTCCAGTGCACAGCTATGTCTCTTAAGATTTCTGGTGTCGGTAGTCTTCGAAGGTTGTAATGGCCAGGGCCTAATACTTCGTGTAGTTAGAGGAGCAAGTGAGTCCAGTGTGGATGAAAGCAAACTTTTGTAGACAGAAGTGGCCAGGTCAGGGCAGGACAGGGGAGAGATTCTGTCATAGAGGTTGTTGGTTGCAGAGTAGAGAAGAAAAGGGTTAAAGTGGTGAAGGTTTCTTTGAGTAATTGTTTGCTGCTTGGAGGGATAGGTGGTTGAAGACAAGGACACTGTGAATTTGTCCCATCATGCCTCTATCTCTGGGAGCCATGCTTGTGTCAATCTTGCAATGCCTCATGGGACTTGTAGTTTGGCAACAGCTGGAGGCCCACCAGTTTGACACCTGTGGTCTAGGGTATTCCTATCGTAGTGAGTGGAGGACTATGTCCATTGTGTTAGGGCAAAAGATGAGGTTAGGTTGAAGAGTTGGGATGTAGCTGGGTTGTTAACATTAATGGAGATGTTAAAATCACCAAGAATGATGAGGGTAGTTCAGAGGAGAGAAAATAGGGTAGCCAGGCAGAGAAATCATCAAGAAAGCGTGACAGCGGTCCAGGTGGCCGATAGATCACTGCAATCCTCAGAGAAATGGGAGAAAACAGCCGAATACAGTGAGTCTTGAAAGAAAAGAAGGATGGATAGAGAGGGTAAGAAGGACTTGAAAGGTGCTCAGTGGGGATAGAAGTAAACCAACTCCACCTCCTTTCCGACCACTGGGTCTGGGTGAGTGAGTCCAGTGAAGGCCTTCATGGGAGAGGGCAGCAGAAGAAGCAGAATCTGATGCTTGATGCCAGGTTTCTGTAATTGCTAGTAGGGTAAGAGAGTGGGAGACAAAAAGGTGTATATATATATATATATATAGAGAGAGAGAGAGAGAGAGAGAGACGGTGTAGTGGAATATTACTTCCTTAAAAGTCTCATAACTGAATTATTTAAAGAAAAAAAAAGGGATCTACTGCCTCTTAAACTGAGGTCTTTGTGACTTTTGCACAAATTTGGACCTGATGCTTTTATCAAAATAGTACAGTTCAACAAATGTCTGAAAGTAACCACATAGTAACAATATGCAAATTGAAACTATTTCTCAGTTGCATGTTAAAGGGACTTTTACTGATATTTAGCCAAAACATTCTAAACTGAACAAGGTTTACAGACAGGTTCACACTGTAGGGGGTTGTTGGTGCAGGAATCGCAGCTGTTCCCACACCTGCAACTACCCGCATGCCCTTCTAACCCTCTTGAATTGTATTCTTGCTTTACTGTCTCCCTTTATATTGTAGCTCTGTACAAATTGTTCGTGCTATATAAATCCTGTATAATAATAATAATGTTTAGAGTACAGTCCAGCTACATCCACCACTGTTTCAGGGAGCTGTTTACTGGTATCACCAGCAAGAACCAATGTCTGTACCTCCTGTGTGCTGTGTCTTCTAGACCTGTTATACCCACTTCTGACTTTGTGTCAGTCTGTGTGCGTTTAAGGGAACAGTCTACTCGCAGACATTCAATACGCACCTTTTATAAGGCTTGTGTTATTTCCATACTGGTGTGCATCTAAATAATTATGGTTAATGTGCTGGTTGTAGTAGTTCCTCTGCTCCCAATTACTTTGATTAGTTTACTGATTAATTTCCCAGGAACAGAATATCCTCTGTTCACAGAGGCCCTCTCCTGGGTGGAGGCACTACCAGCTTTATTATCAAACCCACACTTCCACTTAGTGAAGGTTCTGTTTCTCTTATTTACCTACAGGTCTCACTCAGTATTCTGTTTAGGGAGGGCCATTTCTTATAATTCACCAGCCCCCCTCAAAGAGGACTATACTACCAAGTATACCTTCTCTATACCCTCTGTTCTTGAGAAGCTCCTCTGTGAGGTCTGAGAACCTCCAATGCAATCACAACTTCCTCCTGATAATATGATGAAGCATTTAATCTTTTTACAGGGAATTCCTTGACAAATGGTCCCCGCCTTGTGAGGACCTTTCAATTCTTCACCTTAACATCACACGGACTGATGGAGTCTTTAACTTTGGGAACTACACTAACAGACAGTTGGACTCTCTTTTTGTATCTCAGCTGGATTTAACTGGAACTACTCTCCATCCTTTCATGGAGGTGAATAGTACCAGGAAACCCTAAGTGAGATTACAAATCTGCTGCAGAGTTGGCTGTTGCCACTCCTCTTTTCTTACCCAATCATGCACAAAAATCCTAGTGTCCAGCATGTTGTATGGATCCATTCGATTGGGCCTTCCTGCCCTCTGTTCCACCTGTCAATTTTTTTTAAGTGATGGTCTATTTAAAAATAGGAGGCAGAAGATGCACCCTCACTGAACCTGCTTCAATGCTCTTCCATCTCCTTATCCAAATGGGCTCTGCAAATTGGTGGGTGGGGAGAGTGGTACTTTTTTTCTCTTTCCATCTCTAATTCTTTCTTTTCACGTTGTTAGTTCTGCTTATCTTGGTTCATGAACTGTAAAGCTTATTGGAGACTAATGAGTGGTACAGTCTGTACACTTGGATGACTTTGGTTGCATTTACTGTACATATTGTGCAGAGAACCAGATTGTCTTGTCTATGATGCATGCATACAGAAGCTCTATGAGTTGCTTTTTCTTCACCCTTTTTTTTTTTTTTTGTTTGTTTTTTTTTATTTACCATTGATATTTCCCAATAGACATTGGAGCTTACACAATGATCTTAATGATGCTATTTCCTCTGTAAAACAAATACTTTCTGACCTATCTTTGTACTACAGAGTGCTATACAAGTTATTGTATGTCATATGTTATTGTTATTGTTAAAAATAAAAATTGTAATACGAAAAAAATAAGAGGCAACCTCTGATGATGGTTACAGTGTCTTATAAACCTGTTTGAATATGTGATTTGAGATTGGACACTAGGGGACCACTGAATAGAGATCATTCACACCTATGTTCCTGCAGATAAGATCTTTTTCTGAGGGTCAGGCATTGCAGGCTCACATCAAGTGGGGTGGATTCTCTGGATTGATGCTGTTAATAATCAGGTCAAGTGGAGTGATAAGACCAGCATGTTGGACAATTGTTGTGCTGTGCATAAAAGACTTTGTGGAACCATATTGTATCTGAGCACCACAAACCAAAAACACTATTTAATTCATGTTTAATATTTAAAGCAAACTCGCACATCCTTCCATGTCTCCACGCTTTATTTTACTTAGAAATATTTTTTAAAAGCACCTCCTAGCATTTCTGGCCAAGG